GAGAAGCAGGATGTGGAGTCTGTCAGCAGCCGCATTAATAACATGGCAGCAGAAAGTCATCATGACTTTGATCATCAGAATCAGTTATATCTCACACAGCAGAACTTCCTTCATCTGAGTCTAAAGGAAAAAATATAATTTAAGATCTTTGAGGGTTTTCATGCAGAACAGGAGGACCATGTTTGGTCTTTGCTCTCGTTCTGTGGTGCCCTGGTTTGGGACTCAGAGTGAGCTAGCTTTAAATAAACCGGGACAAAGCTCCGACACTCGCCGCTCGACACTAAATGTTTTGTTTCCGTGGACGTGCTTGTCAGATTTCAGCGGCCTGTAGGGGGTGCTATGCCTGTGTTTGTCTCACCTGCAGTCCCACTCTCAGCGTTCTGCACTGCTCCAGCGGCATCGACAGGTAATCAGAGTACACGCTCTGCCCGTTGTCACGAAAATTGAGGCGGGGCTTGACACTAGTGATGTCAGCTGTCAGTGTGAAGAGGATGGCTGTGACACAAAGACAAGGGTTCAAACATAAAACACACAGGAGTTAGATAATCACAGGTTGTGATGTTTATTTGTTGTTCCTTAACCCTGACATACAAACCACTGCAGTGCAATACCTGTAATACCTACAGCATGTTCTAATCGCTCTAATAAGATATTATGCTCTAACAAAGTCACTGTGGTGTTCCACTTGGATGGTCTGAGCTCTGCTCTACCTTTGTCTCTACTCCAGAGTAGATAAGTGATGGTGGGATGCTGATGCTCAGAATGGTGTTGTGAGCATCCTCTGCTGGTTGACCTGTTGATGGTGTATTGCTGACGTTAACCTCCAGAAACAGCCTCTTGATGGTGGAGTTGAAGTACATCACCTGAGTACCCTCAAGCCTGAAAACACACAAGAACACAAACATCGGCCGAACCTCAGCAGCTGTCTTAGTTAATAATCACCAGGTTGTACCTCACAGACTCTAAGCCAGTCTTCTGTTCTTTTGTCTGTTATTGTTTATTCTTAATGTTTGTACAGTTCTGTTAAATTTATTTTGTTTTTCATGATATCTCAGTACCTAACAGTTAGTAGGAGACACTGGCCTTCAGGCTTTCTGGCAGAACACCTTCAGGGAAGTAAGTGGAATATCAAAGTCAATCATCAAGTAAGTGGGATGTGGTCTGTGGGTTCAGGGGGAGGTGCCAGACAAGGTTGGCCAGCTCTGCCCTATTTCAGTAGCCCGCCAGGACGTGGAGAAGGAAGGAGCTGAGAGCAGACAGCTGCACCGGGATCAAATGTGGTAAAAGGAACAACTCAGTAGGTAGCGCGGTCGCCCCGTGATCCGAAGGTTGGGAGTTTGAATCTACCGAACAGCTACCCTCAGGTACACCTGAGCAAGGTACCGTCCCTACACACTGCTCCCCAGTGCGCCTGCCTAGTGGCTGCCCACTGCTTCACTGAGTGAATGTGTCAAATGCAGAGAGAGTGATTTCC